CACAAAGCGAGTCAATTATAAGTTGCGACTTTATTTACTTTAACAGGTATTAAAGGATTACAATTGACTGTGAAATCAGTGCCTTCTCACCTAATAGTGTTACCAAGATAATTCGGGTGTAACTAACTAGGGACAGAAGCTGTAATGTTTCTTTAAGGAATCTCAGCACGTGTGATGATCTCCTTGAAGTTGTCTAAAAGTCAGTAAAGCTCGCCCAATGAAGATTATCGAAAATCTCATCTTGTTCCAACATATCCATCGGGAGAATTCTGTTGTATTACATTTGTACACCTACATGTCGACGAAATGTTTTACATTTGGTCCATTAGTTTTGTTCAGTTTTTAACTGATTGATCAGAATCTAGAGCTTTAAGAAATCATATGTAACTAAAGTCTGCTTGCGCAATTTATTACTCTTTACGCTTTATAAATCGAAAAATGAGTCGTAAAATGAAAAATAATCATATTTTGATGATTTTTATCGTAATTTATTTATGACTGTAACTTTCAATTCGCTGTTATGATAATAAAAATCGATATTTTATGTACCTTACAGATCGAGATCTGTTGCAACATTTAAAATGTACACGACATTATATTGAATTTTCCAACCCCCACAAGAAAGATTTGGGGTAGTTTTAAAATGATGTGAGCATTCAAAATGGGAAAATATTGTCACAACGCTCCACTACATTGCATAAGATACCATGTCTGTGTAAACTGTTCTGTTATATCGTATTCTTAAAATATATGAATTACTTTTAAATCGTTAGTACGGGGGATCGTCAAAATTTTCATTTCAACAGTGGTCTTTAGATATTGAATTCCAGAAGGCTTTGTTCAAATGTATACCTCTTTTTACTGTATGTAATAAAGGGATTATCTAATCGTTTATGGCAACATGGCATTATTCTTTAGATCACCTATGATATTATTGACGTTGTCAGTCATATACTGAGATGACAAACTGTTAGACATTAATATAGATATTCAGAGAGAATTGTTTCCGACAGTGAGACCAGCGGGTACCCGACACCCTTTCGTATAATTCCGTAAAACGAACAATTGCTTCGGGCAATCCCGACACTTTTCGTGTGCAAGGGTGACAAATCGTACCTGTGTGACAGTGCGGCGTATCGAACAATCTATTCCGAAATAATTAGTGGTTCCACGCGTCAATCAAAGGTAATGTGTAATAGGTTTTTGTTGTTCCGTGAAAACAAGGCATGAGATAATTGCTTGACATGATGTGCCTTTAGTTTAACTAACATTTACCGTTGTTTATTAGTTGATAGAGGGTGTTCCAACATTGCGGATACAACACAGACTAAACTGAAGTTATACAAAGAATTTTACCAAGTTTGAGGAAATATTTCCATAATAATCACCTTTTATATGTAAGTATCTCTTAAAAATATTCTTTGTGATATAACTTATACAAATTATTAGGTAAATGTAATAGGTCAAAAAATGCGTCCTGTGCATACAATATATTGCTTTAGTTACTATTTTTACAAAATTGGTACTGTATATGTATAAATAAATATTCAGGTCTCATGATTGGTATCAAATTGCTTTAATTATCTGGTATATTTGCATATCTTTTGTATTTTATGTTGATGTGGGTGTTATTCATTTCGCTTATTTATTTTATTTATTTATTGCTTTCGATCTTCCAACCAGAAAGCAAAATATTAAAATTGATATTTTATAGTGTACCTTAAAATATTTAAAATAAGAGAGATTAACCGTATAGGATGAAATTCAAAAGCATAAATTAACGTTTGAAAATTCATGTTTTATTGATAAAAGTATATAGGGATTGCTGTTTTGGTTATTCAAGCATTCATTTTTTATTTCCTCTATTACAGATATTTTTTATATGACAATTAAATCTAAAAGAAATTATAAGTAAATTTTATCAATGTGAGGTTTAAAAAATAGAAAGAATGCATTTTGTAAGTAATTTTTTAAAAATTCAAAAAAGGGGAAAATACACAAAACTGCAAAATCTAGAAAATAATACACATATCATACACAATTTTATAGTAAAGGGTAGCCAGACAAGGGGATGGGGTGTATTATCGTTTTACAAATCAAATATACATATTTTGTTTTAAGGAATTGACTCCAATTTTGAAAATTAAAAGATTTTTTAAGCATATTTCTCTTCTTTTATATTGAATTAATTTACCATATAAAGGCGAGAAGACGTAAACTTAAATGCTTTGCACCTGATTTTAACAGGTGATCGGGGTACATTAATTTATCATTAATCAGCTGTGTTTTGGACTGTTTTGCATTCTACAGAGACGCGTCCTTATCCCCCACTTCATCCTTTGTGCATCCATCATTCCTCTAGATGTGCACACAATGCATGTTTAAGCACTGCATTGAAAAGTCCCGTCCCTGGCTACAATCACTGACAAAAATTATGAAGATCATTAATCATTTTTAACAGCATTCTATCCCTTTTTACCGATTTTTGCAAAATGGTGATGAAAGGTTTACAAAGCCCCTCTAAGCAGAGCTCTTAAAAGAAGTTTTTCTACAGGAAGATATGTTTGTAAAGGAGTCGAGATAGCTTCTTTATAGGAACTAAGTGGGGGTGAAATAACGGGGAGAAGTAATGGAAATCAAAATATCATTTATCTCTTTTTACAAATGACTGAAAAAGAACTGCTTGAGAAGGCCGGGGATATTTAGTATAAAGAGGTAGGGGGAAGATTTTATGTCGTAAATATGATAACTTCTTTCTGCTTTAAAAAAGAAATATTTTAATTCATGCAATTCTTTTGTGTAACCGGTATTTGAGATGACATTGACATCGTATCACGTTTTCTTTAAAACTGTCTTTTTATGCGACCTCGAAAGAAATTTGACACCGAATAACTGAAAAGTAGCGTTTTTGGTCTCACTTTGTCCAAGGAGAAATATATAATTAGGAATTCCGTAAGGTGTTACAATCAAAAAAGGAGTTATAAACCTGTTATTTTTTTGTTATTTTGATACTTCAAGCCTCTAAGGAGATTAAAATTTGAATTAAAAATAATTCAAAAATTCATATATCATATCATTTAAGACTGTAACGGTTTCGTATTTAATCTCTTCTGGAGTTATTGGGTTTCTTCAAGGTCTTGTCATTGCTTAGTGACCCACAGAGAAAAAAGTATTGTGCATGGCGCTCTGTAATTTTGGTAACAGTAAATTTATCACAAGTTCACTACAGAATTATGGTACAATTTTTGAATATCTTAAGTGCAGTTGGATAGTAAACATAAATTTAGAGTACATGAATGGGTGAATTAAGCCTAATTTAAGGGGGTTGAGGCCTTTCTGATTTTATCGCGAACCTCGAGACATAGTTCATCAATTCCGAATAGAATTAGGCAAGTCATTCTTGCTCATGATTTCACTTTTAATTTGTTTAGGAACTAGGTAAAATCAACCACTCAGTTTAAAACGAAATGAAAACAAAGGAACGAGAGCCAATTCTACAGGGCAAGTCTTGCCTTCTTCCTCTGATTTTGTGGCGATAATTTTAAGAATGGGGTTATATAAAAATCGGAGACTGGGGTTGGGGGTTTCTTACTTTTTTGTTTATCTTCTTCCATTCATGGGTAATCACTCAGGTCGATGGTGATGTAAGTTTTGGAATTAGACAAGTATTGTTCACTGATCGGAAAGACAAACATCGAAAATTTCTGGTTCCACGCCGGCGATTTTTCGGCCACTTTGGGGGTGTAAGAAAAACCTTAATGCTTACTAATGACTCACGAATTCCCGAGGAGGACCGGAGAATGAAAAATGGACAACAAATGATTACACATGTTTTGATCTGTAGATATAAAAGTTAACATAATTTTTTGGCTCCCTTCCGGGTAAATTGGTCGACGATTTACAAGTCTGGAACACGAGGCCGATCGGTGCGATAAAAGGAACTAAGACAAGACTACATAGAGAAATCAGCTTATACATACAAATATGCACACATAAATAAATTCTTTTTTGTAGGTGAATATTCGTTTGCTTGTTTTATTATGTAAATTTTGTAAGCAATAAAGATTCTATGCACTGTTATTCTGACGTTAAATATCAGATTTCCAAGGATTTTTTTCTCAGTTTCTTAACATAAAGTATTCTTTTGCTTTGAAAAATGTCATAAATAAATTCAAAAGAGACATATGTCCACAAAGACGAAGAATTTCTGAACACATCTGGTTTTGAGTTTAGATTTATTTGTTTATCTCTTACGTGTCCCTTACCATCTTCAAAATTTATGGCTGCTGGTGTCAAGGTTTTAATTCCTTTTTTTCTATTTAAATAAGTTTGAAAAACTTCTAATCTTTGGCCCAGCAAATCTAAATAACGCTGTCTTTTACACAAATTCCCAGAAGGCGCCGATCTAATCATGAAGTTTTTTAATTACCGACAGACATTGGAATTAACAGCAAAACGTGTTAATTTTCTCTTATCAATGCAGAGGGTTACATAACTCGCAATTAAGCTGTTTAAAAGCATAAAGATATGCTAATAACTTTTTTCAGTGTTCATTTTCCCATGAATTGTATCATAAATATTTTTAAAAGACAAGTGACTAACTTTTAAATATAGTCCACCGATATACATTGATAGTTCTATGTAATTGATGTGAAACATCCTTTTATCACATTACAAATAATAGTTGCAGCCTTGCATTCCTTTAAAATCGATAGGGAACAAACCCATGGACGACAACATTTTGTAGTCGATATTGTAAGACACACGGGTAAATTAGATACTATCTCTACTTTTTAAATTGCTCTCTCATGATCAGTGGCGGAACTTTTTTTTCTCTCATTGACTTTCCGCCTCTAATTTTAACGGAAATTCAAAACAGCAGAACACCTGACCGTGGTTCTTGTCGCATGCCAGTCGTTACTGCAGATCTTGTTTAGCAGAGTGTGGAGGGGGCGTGTCCTAACTCCCCACGATTCTCCACTCGCTAAATATTAATGTAAATGTCGAAGTAATATACTGATCAAATAGCTCACTGGATAACATAAGTGAATGTCAATATACACTTGTTCTTAATGTATGTTTTGACTAACGGATTACTTATTAAATGTGAAAGTTTTCGTTCTGTGCGATTTTTCATCTTTATTGACACATGGATTACAGGGGGAACATAATTACAATAGGATAAAAAGTCACATTTTCCAGGTATATTTAAAATGGAATGTTTGAAGTATAAGAGCTACCGTTCTTCTACATTTTGTTATTAATTGTCAAAACATCTTACCTGTACTTTATAGATTATTTCATATCATACCTTATAAAAAATAACACCAGCCCGTAAAAAAAATAGTGTCTAGGTTCATGATATATCAGAGTGCTTATGTATATTCACAAAGGTAAGTTATTTCAATTCAGGGATGGTATTTAATGAATTTCCATTAAGGATTTAAATATTTTCAATTTCAAGAAAATCATTATGCTTTTTTGTATTTCAGGATGTCATCCCGATTAACTAGTTAGTCTGGTTTCTGAAGCGTGGAATTTTCGTCACCGTTAAGTGTTCAGTGTCACAAGATGCAGGGATGTTACAGTAGAGAAATGGTGCTTCTTGCTCTCTTTTATCTTCTTATTTCGTATTCCACTGGACAGGATTTAACGTACAGAATCCAAGAGGAACAAACGCCGAACTATTTCATCGGGAACATCGTCAACGATTCAAGGTTTTTGGAGAAAAATAACACAGAAAAAGTCGATCGTGAAAACATCCGTTTTAACATTCTGTCCCAGGGGAATCCGCTGGCTGTGTATTTCAGAATAAATGACAAGAGTGGGGCGTTTTATACCAACTCTACGTTAGACAGGGAATCCCTCTCACATTGTAAATTTTCGGAGATTTGTGAGATTCGATTGGATGTGAGTGCTCAATCGACAATTGGAACATTTTTCCAAATCATAAAAGTGAAAGTCGTTGTTTTAGATATAAATGACAATAAACCATTCTTCGTGAAAAACAAAACAAATTTGGAAATTTCGGAATCCTCCATTCCGAATTCATCACTCTCCGTGGAAGGCGCAGTGGACCTGGATAGTGGTGTGAACACAATTCAGACTTATAAACTGAAACCAACAGATTCCCCTTTCGTTTTAAGTTATGATACATCTTTAGTTGGAAGCTCTGCTTTAAAACTACTTCTGAACAGGACATTGGATAGAGAAAAAGTAAATTCTTATGATTTGGTGATAGAAGCCATTGATGGTGGAAGCCCAGCTAAAACCGGAAGTCTGTTGGTTTTTATTTCTGTAACAGATGTGAACGACAACCGACCAGCATTTAGTCAACCGAACTACAATATAACGATAGATGAAAACGTTAAAGTGAATTCGGTGATTCTAAATATGAGTGCCACAGACAAGGACTTGGGAAAGAATGGAGAGGTAATATACCGCCTTAGTCCTTACCAGTCAGACGACATTAAACAAATGTTCTCGATCAATGAAACCTACGGAAATCTTAGTCTGATAAAACCTTTAACTTATTACTCTGGTGAAATACTCAAAGTTGTGATCGAAGCATCGGATAACGCTGATCAACCTTTGATCTCTCAAGCAACTGTAAATGCCAGGGTACTAGATTCAACAAACAGCCCCCCAATAATCAACGTTAATTTGCTGTCGAATGCTGGGACCGCTAAGATCGCTGAATCGGCTAGTATTGGAGCAGCTGTTGCACACGTAGGTGTTACGGACGAGGACACTGGCCGAAATGGACATGTCAACTGTTCTGTTGACAGCTCAAACTTTCGACTCGATAAACTCGATGTTAACGAATACAAAGTAGTTGTAAACATCGAGCTGGATCGAGAAAAGATTGATACATATGACATCACAGTAACCTGCATCGATTCTGGAACCCCACCTTTGAATTCGTCCTCGACTTTTCAGGTTACGGTCATTGACATGAATGATCATTCACCTACATTTCTCAAGACAACCTACTATGCTGAAATGTACGAAAACAACAATATTGGAATTGAGATCCTCAAAGTATCAGCTTTAGATTTTGACATCGGCATCAACGCTGACATTGAATATTCTCTTTCTCAAACCGGACGTTTCGCTTTCGCTATTGACCCAACTTTTGGTACTATATACGCTAATTTCAAAACAGACCGAGAAAATTCATCTGAAATCAATTTCAAAGTGGTTGCAACAGATAAAGGAACCCCTAGAAGATCATCCACGTCCAATATAGCCATTAAAATTCTGGACACCAACGATAATAAACCAAGATTTACTGACCCACTGTTCACATATACCATTCCGGAAAACCAGAGGCCAGGACTATTTGTGGGACAATTGACAGCTAAGGATGACGATCTTGGAAATAATGGAACATTTGACTTCATTTTATCTAAAGATAATGAACCAAATCTGCCATTCTTTATTTCAAAGAATGGGACCATTACCACAACAGAAGCATTAGATAGGGAACAGTATCCACATGGAATCAATTTCAAGGTGGTCGCCATCGATAAGGGTACTCCGACATCCTTAAACAGTACCGGATACGTCACAGTCTTCATGTCCGATGTAAACGACAACCGTCCTGAAATAATATTTCCTAATGCGGAAAATAAAACTATTGCATTTCTGTTTGATCTTCCAATCAATAGTATTATTGGAAAAGTAAACGCTATAGATCAGGACTATGACATAAATGCCAAGCTGTCGTACTCATTCATTGAACCCATTAGTTTCATTTCAATGAACCAAGACAGTGGAGCGATAAAACTAAATATGCCCTTAACTTCGGAATCTGTGAATCGATACCCCATGACGGTTGTTGTAGAGGACCACGGTGTACCAAAACTATCCTCCAATTTTTCAATGACCATTGTCGTTTTATCCCATCATATTCCTGCCCCTGTTACACCAAGAAAGGCAGAAAACGATAACTACATGATGATTGCTGTCGTTATTTCCTGTGTAACTGTAGTGGTGGCGGGGAGCATCATCCTTGTGATCTTTCTCATCAGGCGGAGCGACCAACAGAAACGTGCTCTGGAAAAGAACAACAATGGCGTCATAATCTCCAAGAACCAGAATGCTGTGAATGAAGGCAGGGAACAGTATGACGCGGTACATCACGCCATGAAAAGAGAGAAGAGCGAGAAACGTGTTAGTTTCTCAACGGAAGAGGAAAAGAAATACGACACGTTGGAAATGGAACGCCATTTATACCAGAAAAACCCTCCAAAACAGGAAGTGGACAGGGTAAGTTGTCAATTTCAAAACTCTGGGCACTCATATGTAAAAACCTTCAATTTCTTAAAACTTGAACCTTGAATTCTATAAGTCATCATTAGTCATGTAATAGAACTCTACAAGTAACAAAATTGAACAATGTTAGTATTGGCAATGCATACATTGTTCAAATATTACTGAATGTAGGTAAAATATGAATTATAAGCTTGACATGGTAGTGAGCATTTATGGTTATTTAGATGTTAAGTCATCTTAGCTGCCATCTACATGTGGAAATGATGTCTGCATTCGTTGCTACACGTAAATTGTATTTAGCAATGATGTTCGCATTCGTTTCTATGCTACACGTATTATGCTACACGTATTTAGCAATGATGTCAAAATTTTAATATTAAGTCTTTAGCAGTAATGCCTATGCTTGCTTCATTGAGCTCGCAGTTACAGTCAATTAAGAAGAAAAATAACTGTCCTAGATAGCCCCCCAAAAGGATTCTATCCTATATAATGGTATTTTAATTACTGGAAGTCTTTAAAAACATTTTTACTTTTTTAATCGAAATGGAAAGTGAATATCCTAATACACCGATTGAAATGTTTTTTGCTCTTTGTTTAGACTTCGTAAGTGCATATCTAATAACATCTATTATAATTCCTGACATATAATTGTCCGACAACATATATATTCCTTTGATTGTTTGCAGTAACTTTAACCCGAATTTTTAAATGTTTTTACAATGCTAATGCGTTCTGTTGTTACGTGGCCTTTGTTAAAAACTGAAAATTAAAGTTGATTAGCATTCTTGTACAAGTTTAGCCCCCGATTGTTTGTTGTTTTATAATAACAGTAATTTTAAAAATTAGCCAATGTTTCCGAGGGGTTCTTTTTTCTTTGCCACTTGTCCCGATTCCTGACAATGCCGCCCAGCACAATGGATATAATAGATATTGACTCAGCTTTTGTAGACCCGGACTGCTCTCCACTGATAAAACATTCCATAACGAGCCATTCATAGTGAAAGCTTAAAATTTAGACATCAATTTACGCGTGTTTAAATTTGGCATATTGTACACAGAAATGTATGTACTTTAGAAAATAAGACACTACTTGGTTTGTTAAGAGTTGCCAAATAGAATGGGGTTCTAAAAGCAATGGAGAACAGAAGGCCCACTCCAAATAAAACAAAAAAATACTTCAACTTGGATTAAGATGACTCAGATTTTTGACAGCAAACTTCAAACACATTTATTAAATATTAAAAGGATTAAACATTTCTGAATCGTGAGCTAAATCGTGTTTTATCATTTTTTAAACAAAAGATTTCACTTAGCTCGACACCTTTTGGTCAAGGGTCACGTGATCTAAACAACTTCAAAAAGATAAAGCAGCCCCTTATCTGAGCCCTTAATTGACGCGGGGAATCTGTAGTGGACAAGGGAGGATTATCCTGTCAACAGTCCCACCAAGGGCGACATGTAAACCCAGTGCCTGGTTGTCTCCTGACGATAACTTACTGATATCCCCCGATCACAGTAATCACCGGCCATTCAGGAATGTCGGGACATACTCATTCTTAAGACCCCCCTCCCTGATATAGATTTTTGGAAGGCAAAACAAGTAATGGTTCTACCAGTGCCAGTTCCCAGTTCAGAGTAAATATTGAAATTATAGACACGTCATTTTTTACTTCATATTGCATGTCAAAAGACGATCTACAAGATAATACAACACGACGTATCAAATCGTCCCGGCTTTTCATCTAATCCTGAAAAGAAACCCGGACAACTTTGTATAACATTAACGAAAACTTTGAATAGATCGTCCAAATCTGTTTCTCTTACTGAAAAGGATATTGAATCAGTTTTAGAAAAGAAAGCATGCGGGCATGTGAAGTTCCTTAAAGATACCAGACACTTGCTTTTTGGCTTTTTTAAAATTCTCAATGGAGATCTGTTGAGAGTATCAAATTCAGACATATTTTTCCCTTCTTTTATTCAAAAGATGACCCGTGTCTTTTTGTGTAATTATGTCGTGTTTCCAGATTCAGACTTAAGTCAGCTGCAGAAATTTGCCATTCACGAAATGAACAATACCCATGCTAAAATTGAACTTTGAGAGAAACTTCCTTAGGTATCAAAATATTGATTAAACATTATGTATTTTTCTTGTAGATTTTGGATACAATAATGCCTCCCCCAAACCCCCGAGTGGCGCAAGTGAAAGCTGTGCCCAGTCCCTCCACGTATAACTCCCAGCCCCCCTCCCAGATCGAGAAGCTCCAACTTCACCAGAACATCATCAACATGCACGCTAGTCAGGTAAGTTTTGGATCTCCAAACACACACATAGTCTGGTAAACAGTGGTACCCTAAACACATGTTACAATATTCGTACGTTGTTGACTCTGTTCAGAAATCAATTTTGTGTCGACACGTGTTTTGTTGAACTAAGTCTAATGACTGATCAAAAGTTGCATTTTTTCTCTGTACGTTTTGGCGAAATTCTTTAAAATTGCACGCAGTTTACTTTGAAATTGTTTCCCCAAAGTTGTTTAGAATTATTGTCAGCTAAATTTCATATAATTTAGCATAAATGTGAATTATTAATGCAGCGTTTTAAAACCAAAGACAAATTACTACATTAAAAGGAAAACGACACACGATATCACTGTAAACCTAATATATGTCTGTAGTCTTCTTTTATATTAAGACATTATGGTCAATTTAACTTACTTTATAGAGTCATTTAAATTCACGAAAAAAAAAAAAAACAATAATCTTTGCTCACTTTTGATGTAAATTAAATTTTTTGCATGTAGCAGAGATACCTGCTTAAGAACTGTTATGGGTCAAGTATTGAAAAAAACGTATAGGTGTATTTCTATAAATTACCAACAATCGTTTTTTCTGAAATTATTTTTAACATGTTACAGATGCAGCCCCATTGTGACAATGACAGTGAAACATCATTGGAATCCAACACGTCTGACAGTGGGCGGGGAGGAAGTGAAAGTGACATCCACAGCAGCGGGGGTCTCTCCCAGTGCCAGGAACTGGGTAAGATAGAATTGGTCTTGATATAACTTTCGAATTTGGTAGAGTATACTTTGTCTTAAAATGTTTAAAAAATCTTTCCTGATCAGTGAATTAGTGCATTCATCGTGTACAACGTATATACCAGTATGCAGTTTGAAACGCAATGGCTTTTAAATCGAGAAATTATTACAGGTCTTAATGCAGCATTTTTTTCTACATTTCAGATTTGCTGAAACAGTTATATCCTCGTGATAATAATCAAGAGCATTATAGACTAAAAAATACTACAGGCAATGTGGTTAATTTAAGAGACATAAGACCAAAACTTAGAGAAAACAGTAGAAATGTTCCGATGGATAACGTCCACCGGAAGTATGCAGATCGACGCGTCAACCAATATGGTGACCCTGTAGATATTCATAATATTCCTTTTTCTGCCTACAAACCAAAAAGATATACGCATTTTAATTCCGTGTCAGACATTTTGGATGGAAGTATGATGACAAACGACGATGACGATGATCTTAGCACAACCACTTCCGGTAGCTATACCGTCGATGATTTAGATGACGACAGCTTACATCCGGAATGTGTTGTCTGATGAACATTCCGTATATTTCCAGTCTTGTGTTCAAATTCTCATTTTTTCATGAAAATATGAACTGCATAATGATAATGTATCTATGCATTGATATTATAGTATACATGTAGACATGGTATTCAGAATTCACGAGGCAATCTAGATATTTTCATTGCGTGCCATTTACCTTTTAGAAACGGAAATGGTTTTAGCAAATATGAAATTACAAATAACATAATGATCTAAATATCAGATTGCCGATTTTGTTTATTAGGCAAAGTGACTTGCCAAGAGACATACAGGACAAACATGTCTTTGATCTTTATTTGCAATGTGCCAAATGTTATTTCGATTTGTTAATACAGATTGTATGATTATGTATTAAATAATGGAAAAACCAATCTTTTTTATTTATGTGTTTAATGTACTGAGTAAAGTAGAAGAAGCTTTTGGCATCCAAACATATTCCATGTAGAACAATTTATGTGGTTTAAATTCTGTTGCAGTTATCTAAAATTTTGTTATTAACCATTATGACTATTTATAAAATAATGTTAAAATAGAAAGCACTACAGAATGACGGAAACTAAGTAAAGATAAAAGAAAAAAAATAAAGTAAGAGGATAAGTCAAATGGGACTGAACTTCAAAAATTATTGTATTTTAAAATTGTGCAATACTTCATAAAGTTCTCAAGTTTGTTTCTTGAAAGTAGGTGCATTGCGCAAGATTTCGCAATATGCCCCTATATAGCAATTCAACGAGAAAAAAATTATTTCCTGCAGTTGCAGTTGGGGAATTTTCAGTGTTATGAATTATTCCACATCCTTTATTTTAAAATAAAAATCTGTTTTACAAGTAGATACTAGTGTACAACATTTTTTAAAAGGTCAAGGAACATTTTACGCGATATGCAGTGAAGTACCTGTAGGAGTACATGGGTTTCGGAAAAAAAAGTTCCAAAGATTTAGAAAATCAAAGAATTTGAATACGAAAAAAATTTCGCTGAATACATTTGACGCAATGTAGAATTTTATTATCATCATAAAAAAATTATATTAATTTTTTTTAATTTTACTTAAAATGATTTTTTTTTCTTCAAATCATCTCCTATATTAGAATCTATGATGTTTAGTTCCTGGGTAAAAAAAATGATATCCTTCTCTCTACTATAGGAATACCATATTTTAAGTATAACTGGACTAAAAGGTTTTAACCGTGTAAGATAATTATTTTCTTTGGTACCTGTACACGTAAACGTTTAGATCTATACCATAGGCCTTAAGATCGCTCAGAAAAAAATGTAGGTGTTGCAAAAAAAAAAATTTACACAATTTTATTTTAAGCGATCCAAAGGCCTGTGATCTAGACATGCAAAAAGCGAATTGCCTGTTGGAAATAATGTCCAAATACATGTATGATTATGAGATGAACATTGAAATTCTTTGGCATGAAAAGTCCCTGCTGGCATAAACTTTTGCCATTTCACACATTTGGTACATAGTGCACTATTTTGATCTTGTGTATAAATGCCGAGGAAAGTTACCCCATATCAAGATAATTTGGAACCCAGAAGAACCGTTCAATCAATTCAGATGTATAGTTCTGACCTTGCTCATAAAAGTATCTCCGTACAAACCTCAATTAGGCGTCATTATCATTTTGCGTGCTGAGTGACAATTTAGAAATTCTTACCCTTACCGCCTTTTAACAGTCTTTTCAATCACATGTATAGTTGCTCTCGTTGACAGAAAAATTAATGTCAACCTGATTGCTGTAGTTCTGGAAAAATGTACGATACATTGCAATCATGTTAAACGACCTTCGGCAAAATAGGCACGATTTCGAGCCCAATTCTATCTAGTCCTACCCCCCTGCAGAATTGACTCATCCTTGGCAAGGCCACTCCCTGACAGTGCTGGGTCGATTAACAGATTGCTGGTATGCGATGAAGATATTTCTCTGAAAAATATGTAATTTAATCTCCATGTATTCACTAATTTAAAGCATTTTAAAATATTTAGATCTTTATAACACTAATTTTTTATTCAAAGAATTTTGATATATAATCATTTTTGTCTAGTGACCTTCATGGAGAATCAAACACAACTAGAGGATTAAAATTCTGAATAGACTCGTAAGCATACCTGATTCTATATAGCAAAACCAAGAAATATCAACCAACCATTGTGACTCTGTTCGTCTTAATCAAAACATAATATACAAGATTACGTATCTGTGTGTACTCTAATTATATTAGATTAAGTACTATAAATTAAATTGGTCTTAGGATTTTTACATAAGAATATCTTATTTTAGAATCATGGGAACGCCAACCAAAATCAAATTCGATCAATAATTTCTAACATTTTGTAGTTTTGTCTATCTTAAATAATTTATAATTCTTTTATAATTATATTAAATCAAAACAGAACTGTGACAAGATCACTGAAGGTTACATTGTAACATTTCGTAGAAATTTTTATTGATTTAATAACCAAAGCATCACTATATTAATTATACCAATACAAAGAATGAAACATCTAAATGTACATATATCTATAACATATAATTATAATAGATCAACAGCTAGTCAGCATATAATAATAGACACACAACATATAATAAAATCATATGTATACAACAAAGACAGCCATGGTCAAGTGCCTGTGTATCATGATTATGACGTAGTCAAATCTGACATTCCTTTTGTTAAGACGTCACAATACCTTCACTTTACAACAAGAGTACTGTGACGTCACAATTATACTTTTCAAGTGTAGCTAACAGTGTTGAAAGTGTTCGAAGGATGAAGTCCAAATATTTTGTCTTGGGAGCGGCTCTGACTTGGCCCTTTTGTTCTACTGCTCCAATACACGCAAATCACTTATCAAAAACACAGAGTGTTCCAGCTTACCGTTCGTTAATGGAAGAACTGGGATTTGAGAAGCTGAAAACAAGCAATGGTGTGCATGAAGCCACCGAGAAAAACGACGTCCTGCATTTTGATGCTCATAACAGAGATGCTCAAGACCTACATCTTTCTATCTGGCAAGACATTCTTATCTTTGCCAGTATTTTACTATTGTGTACAGTAATTGGATTGATAGGATACAAATTTGCTGGATGGAAGATGGACTCTAGTAACGAGGAAAGAAAGGATGATAATAATATATCAGAAGAGGAACTGAAGTTGGGTCCCGATGCACGGCATTTGTTCCATTTTATGGACTTGGCACAGCAAAAAATCGAAAAGGGTGAAAAGATCAATTCTCGATTTGTGTTTTTGGTTACCCGGCGTTAAGCATACGTACATGTACTGCTTTGGAAAAATCACTTTCAAAATTCATAACACAACTTGTTATTGCCCATCTGTTCTCACATATGAGATTCTGTATATGTATTTCCATTGTCAATAAAAATATGTCAACATGTTTATTTTGTTATTTGTTATCCGACAGTGTAACTTTTTGAAAATCTACTGATTCCTTTTCCTTGCAAGGAAAAATACAGAACTTTTTGTGACTAAATGTATAAAATCAGCAATTAAAGCTTAATTTACATAATGTATACAGTAGCAGTTTCCTATTATTTATCAAAAGATGCCATTAAACTTACTCTAAATACTGAAGAAATGGTTACAGTCATTATCTCCATTGATAATAGGTAACAAAAAATAAAGGAAAAATTAAAATCGAATATTTTCTTCGAAACGAACTAGTTGCGAAACTTACTTGTGCTATCGACGCATCAGAGGTTACAGTAGAGTCGATCGTAAAAAATAGCCATTGGTACTCTAGCTCTGCACAATCTTGTATTGGTTCTTTCCATGTTGTGAAAGTACAAAGAACAAGGCACATAATTTAGCCCTATGTTTTTCTAAAATATGAAAGTAATATCATAAAAATAAAAATTCATTATTTTTCATTCGTAGGAATTCCATGCAGTAAAAATACATAAATCGTTTTTCTCTTATTACCTTCTTAAATCTAAATGCCATTTGTGGCATACATTAACTTGTGCATTTTCCCGTATTTTCTTAAAAAGTTGCAAAAGACGAGCATCAATTTTAAGTGGATTTCTTTCTTCAGATATTCTGCATCCATCTCCCACAAAAATTTTGAAATATGTGATTTTTTAAAGCAGTTTACATAATGTATCTAAAAAATGAAGTGGTCGGCAGTGGCAGGTACTTTTTTCTAAAGCAAAATAAGCACAGAAACGAGTCATTCTGAGGCTTTTCTGCATTAAACGTAGGTGTAGTACTTTAAAAAAAATCCTCGCACAAACCTCCACCAAAGACAGCTAGAATGTATTATATCTGTTATAAATGAATGTTCAAAATAATTATAATACTTAATATATGCATTCGCAATACCTTGAATCCATGAGAATAATAATTAATTGTTGGACTATGCTGGTGACGGTATTTTTTTTTTATTCCTTCGTTCTCTAGCTGAGGTATTGTCATTTACTGTTGTTGATCAAAGAGGAAGAATCATACCTGAACACCACATGAATTTTTATCATTTTATCATTTATTTTATTTTTTCTAAAATTGGACTATAAAATTTTGAAAATTGATAGAATCGATTTCATAAACGAAATCTTTTGTTGAAACGCTGTTAAACGTTTTTGCAATCACGGAGGTATTTTTTATGGCAGCTTTTTGATGTATTTGTTAAGAGGACATTAAGTCTTCTGTAGAAATGACGCTCAAGAAAGTTCTGGTAGATTTTATTCTACGGGTTCTTTTGGAAATCCCATTTCTTTGTCAGGTCTGAAAAGTGGACAATCATAGGATTAAAGTAAATTTTAACAAATAAGTTTTTAAATAGTTTAAAGCTGCACAAAACAAAACCGGAATGACAAAGATACAAGAGTTGTTGGCCTTAACTAATGAGGCAAGTGCACGAAATTGATATTGTCAAATGAATTTTATTCCTTGTTATCCATATACATGTACATGTATCATCATTTCAGTCTGAAATATGAATCATTATACCAAAAATAATTCAATATCGAATAAAACAGTAAAGTCTGGGGAAAAAAATACAACTAATATTCAAATTTGTTTTTAATGTCATTCAGAAGCACGGAAATTTTCGAATATAAAATAAATATTCAAGTGTTCCTCTTGGCTACGAAAATTTCAATATAACTTTACAAAGATATCTTTGGTTAACACGATCGACAGCAAAATTTTCAATTCCATTTTCATTTGTAAAAGTAAGCGAACAGTTGATTAAATCCACACATTTCAATTTTCTGAATTCATACTTGACCTGTCCGGATCAAAAAAGATCCCCCTAGTCTGGTTAGTCACGGGTCAGTGAGCAGTAATCACTCACGGACGGCAGGGGACGGGTGTCAATATTTTACTTCCC